TCTTAAAAGTTTAAAAATAATATTAGGCTGTGTTTCTAATACTCTTTTTTTAAATGGCAAATACTTTAGAGAAAGTATGTATTTTTAAAATTTTATTGAAGTGTAGTTGATTTACAATGTTGTGTTAATTTCTGCTGTACAGCAAAGTGACTCAGCTATACATACATACGTTCTTTTTCATATTCTTTTCCATATGGTTTATCATAAGATATTGAATGTAGTTCCCTATACAGTAGGACCTTGTTGTTTATCCATCCTACACATACTAGTTTGCATCTGCTAAACCCGAACTCCCACTCCATCCCTCCCCCACCCCCCACCCCCCGTCCCGCTTGGCAACCACACGTCTGTTCTCTGTGTCTGTGAGTCTGTTTCTGAGAGAAAATATATTTTGAATAAAATTCCCCCAAATAATCAATCTCTGTACAAGTATGGCTCATGGTACCTGCTCTGTACATTTTGGTACTCTTTTGTGATAGTGATGATACAAAGCCTTATCTCAACCCCTCACCTAAATCTACCCCAAAGAAAATTGCTACAGCTGCCACCAGAGCATATAAACTGCAAGCAGAAATAGTAAGCCAATATCCAGTTAATAAAGGCAAGCTATGATGCATTTGGAGCCTGGCTTTGTTTTCTTTCTGTACATGATTTGGTCCAGTGTAGAGTGAACCAAAAAAAAAAAAGTTTCATGAAATCCTCATTCTATAAAATCTAATGACATGTAAATCACACACAACGATACATGGCAAAAACTCATTGGTCAAAGCGGTGCTCATGTACAATATAAACTCTAGACACGGCCAGGAATCAAAAAAGAAGCACAAAGATTTCCCAGCACTAAAGTATATGCTCTTTCTCACAAGAGATGGAACTGTCAACACACCTGTGTATATTCTTTCAAGTTCGTTTCTAGTCAGATCATTTCTCTAGTTTGCTCGGCAGGAGGGAGGGAGGGCCGCTGACCACGTGGCAGAGGCCTTAGAACAGCAGAACGGCCCCACAGGCCCAGGACTGCCTAGTTCTTTGTACGACGGTGTAGTGGATTCAACCAGGAAAGGTTAAATTCTATCTTCTGTACCCATTTTCAAAAGGAGGTACTTGGGGGTTTCCCTGGTGACACAGTGGTTGAGAGTCCGCCTGCCGATTCAGGGGACGCGGGTTCGTGCCCCGGGCAGGGAGGATCCCACATGCCGCGGAGCGGCTGGGCCCGTGAGGCGTGGCCGCTGAGCCTGTGCAGGGTACCCAAAAAAAAAAAAAAAAAAATTAAAAAAAAAAAAAAAGAAGAGGAGGTTCTTGGGATTCGTTTCAGAAAAATTTGTATTCAATAAAAATGTTTTAGGTGGAAAGTGATGTTTGAAGTAGCCTAGAAAAATTGGGGTCTGAAGATCCCTTTATTCCCCAGTGAAGCTTTATTGTACTAGAATCAAGAAAATCGGTCTGTTGGGCTGTAGAGAATCCAAAATAGTAATGGCCATGGGTATCATTTATTTACGGACACCTGTGCTTGATTTAGAGTTTAGAGGCTTTATATGTTTTCCGTTTTATTCCTCAGAGTAACCCTGTAGGGCCTGCATTGTTATCCCATCTCACAGATGAAGAGTCTGAGGGTCAGAGAGTTCCCAAAATAACTTAGCTGGCAAGTGGCCGATGTGTCTTTGGCTCCAATGCAGGAAAATATACACTTTCCCCCTGTATCAGCCTGGCTTGAAAAGCAACATTTCTGACGTTTGCTACCAGTTCATAGACGCCTACCTCTT